GAAGGGGAAGCAGCTTGGCCCATACTGGTTAGTTCCCCTTCTTTGAAAAGTATGACAAGAAAGTACAGGGGAAGCTACTTTGAAATGAAGAGTTTTTAGGGTGATGGTTTGATGAGCAATTTGTTCTCTGATTGGCTTAAATAATCACTGGGTGTTTACACTGTTCGGGACCGGTGCTGGCACTCAGGATGCAGCATGAATGGAAATGCACTTCCTGCTCTCCATCTCCAGTTTCAAGCCCAGTGATACATTCCCCTCCACCCAGTGTGTCCTTCAAGCCTATTACAACATCATATTTCAATAAAAAAGTTACCAAGAGAGATAAACCAGGAAGAGTACTCCCCTCCTGCTGGGTGGTGTTTGTTTTGTTTTTGAGACAGGATCTACCTATGAAGTTCAGGATGTCCTTGAACTCACTATGTAGCCCAGGCTACCTTGAACTTGCAGTGATCCTCCTGGCTCAGTCTTCCAAGTGCTGGAATTACAGGTATGTGCCACTGTGCCTGGCTCCTTCTGGGTAATGTATTTCATTCCAGGTACTGGAGCCACCTCCAGCTAGGTCACACACATGTTAGAAAAAAACCCTAATGCAAATACAGTAGTGACATTTCAGTCTTATAATGTCTTAGTTTCCTCTGCAGCAAGAGCATTAAAAAAAAAAACTCTGCATGTTAAAAAAGAGGAAAAAAGTTAGGACTTGTTACTAATCTCGTGGCTGAATAATTAAGCATGCCTAATTCTGAAAGTAGCAAGCTAAATTATGCAGTGCCAAAAGCAACAACTCTCATACCTACACCATCCCGTCTATACCGGCATGGTTTTAGCTCTACAGCTAAAATATGCTGCCAGAAAACCTAACAAAAGGAAGCAAAAATATTTCTGTTTCCATCAAGTTGCCATTTGAGAAAGACTTTCAAATATGTTCTTCCCTATGTGTAAATCTGACAGCAGATGCATAATTAAAACCCCAATGGAGAGCTTCCTTTTAATTTTTTCGAAGTAAAACAATAAAACATCCTTCAGGATGTGAAATGATGGATTAACACTCTTTGGGTTGTTCTGAATACCTCTGAGCCAGAGTGCTGCCTCCAATAAAATTATTCAGAACCAGAACACAAACTTCTGTTTTTCCCTTTGGTTCATGTGATCACAGAAGATATAATGACACACCAAAGGCCACACATGCACATTCAACAAGCTATGCTTGTCTTGGATGTCTGTTAAATGGAGGAACAAATATTCAGATGCATTCACATTAAAACAAACTTCAATCCTCAGGGAAGGTCACATAGCATAAATGGGAGCCATAATAATTATCCAGGATTTCAGTACAGGGTAAGCAATCAGTATAAATAATTTACAGCACCAATTAAGTGGACTTCTTATTCTGTTTGAGTTACTCAGATTGACTTTCGATACAGCTCAACTACTGCTCAATAGTCACAGGCAAGTTGCCCCACCAGGTCTTGCTATGTGACCACACTGTGCATAGACAATTGCAAATTGTCCAGCTCTGGATGTGGGATCCCCTTCAACCCAAATGTCAGCACCAGTAATCCGTCTCATTATGATGGTCCCTATAACCGTGAGCACATACAACCAAACCAACCTCTCCATGATCCCTACTAGTTGAAGGCCTATTCTTACCCTTTCTTCCTTCCCCTTCACACAGGCCATCCAGAATGCAAGTGCACAGACACACACGAAGGTAGAACGCGTCTTTTGTCCTGGGACCTAGTCTATCAGAATGTCTTCTACTTGCAAGTGGCCCTGCCTCTGACTTTTTTCAGCCTGGTTCCTGCCTGCACAGTGGCCATGGTCGACAAATGCTTCTGCCCTGTCTCACCTATATTAACTTGTGTGGTCCCTCAATGTTCTCTGGTTTGAACCAGCTGCTGGCCTGACACAGCCCTGCCCTGATGTTAGGCACACATATCCAGACCCTAGATTGACATATATCCCTTATTAAACACTTACAGTCTCAGAAAAGAATGTGTGCAGTGAATGCATGAAATTGGTGGAAAATAGAAAGTATAATTTGGCTTCTGGATCAATGGGGTCTAGCTAACCCCTCATTAACTGTATGACCTTGGACAAATTCTCTAAGGTTGTGTCACATGGCCTTAGGCCAAGGCTCCCCTTCCTACCCTAATCATCTGTGGCCAGGATGGTCAGGAAATGTTGCTCATAATTGGTACAATCCAGCTGTCCATGTGAGGATATGCTTTGACCTCTGCCATACATTATAAGCTTTAACTCTTCAACACATAACACTGGACCTGATACACACAAAAATACATCATACTTGTATTTTCTCTATACTAAAGACTAGATGAATAATTTAGCTGGACTTACATAACAGAACAATGAAATACCCTGCTTGATTAGGCAGTATAAACAGTTGAACCAAGTCATCTTGGTCTCCAGAATTCCACATTGCTGCCTGAACTATATAAAACTGAGTATGTGCTGACTTTCCTTTTCACCAAATGAGGTGGCAGATAGAGAATCTTGACTGCCCGTTTTGGACAGAAGTTTGGTGCCCTGAGTTGCTGAATCCATAATAGCATCAGTAATAATATGGTCTCTGCAAATTCAGGACATTTAAGGGGAGGGAACTACCTAAGCAGAAGAGAAACTGACAGATATAGGTCTTTACTTAAATCTCATCCAAGTGCATTTTACTGAGAGAAGGCTGAAATGATAACTGTGCTTCTTGAGGATTTAGCAGAACACATTTGCTGACCAAAGAGACAATCTAAACCACTACCCGAGAATCTGGGCACCTGGCAGAGATACCCACACAGGGCTAGTTCAGGCCAGAGCTGGCCATGCACAGGTTTGATGTTATCCTGCAGACTTTGGAAGCAATGTGCTGGGTCACTCATAACACAGCCACATGGTTCAGTGTAGCCCTCCTACACTGCTTGCCTACATTTAAAAACACAAATCAAGAAAGAGAACATAGTTTCTTTCTGCTTAGCTAAAAAATAGCCAATTCTGCCAGCAGATTAAAGGCTGGGGCATGGAACAGTTTTCCAACATGCCAACTTAATTCTGTGTAGAGCTCAAAGAGAAGCTTTAAAAACCATGATTAAGCTCAAAATCACTACCTTCACGGAGGCAGTGAACCCGAGATCGATGGGAGCTCTTCAGGGAGCTACAGAGGCCACAGATCACTCGAATGGGGTCCCATCTGGATGCGCTCACAGCTGGTATGGGAAGAGGACACTGCCAACAGCTTCCTCTCTGGCCTGTGGTTTCCATTAGGAACTCACACCACATCATGGGACAAAAAGGCTGTGACCACCGACATGCTCACAGGTGTGGCTCTAGGCGACAAAAAGTAGAAGGGAATGTGGACAAGAGACAGAGGAGCTATGAAAGCATGGCGTCACCCTCTAGCATTAAGCATCTTTAGTACTTTTAAAGCACTTTTAAAAGAAATTCTAGTTACTATAGCAACTTGATGCAGCTCTTAAAGGGGGATTTTTTGAGGGGTCATTTTATATCTTCAATCACCATAACAACACGATATAGCTTTCAAAGGGTATTTTTATCCAATTTGTGTACACTTTGGATTCAGGCCATATTTGCCTTTTCTATTTAAAAGCATCAGATCAAGCATCCCTGAAGACAAGGAAGCCCTTTCACAGACCGTACACATCCATGCAGAGAGATGTTTCCAGTTGCTCATCCCTGCACATGGACACAATCACTCCACAGGCCTCTGAGCAGCCCCATGCAGTTGGTCAATGCCCAGGCTCTGGGCTAGCACAGCAAAACCCCCAGAACCCACCGAGGGAAGGTGTGTCCAAGAAATCCCTCACTGCTCAGCCCAGTAAGTACACTCCTCATCCCAAACTGCATCACGGGAGATAGTGCCTAACTAGTTGATGGGTCAAGTTTCTCCCATCCCGGGACTGGTACTGGAGTGGGTGGAACACACACCAAGTCCTGACAAAGTGAAAGCTTGTATTTCTCTGTGCTCTGTACAGGTGAATACAGGGGTGGGGTGGGCTGTTTCACCGGAGTCCAGGGAAGGGAAAGGTGAGGGCCAGGCAGGAAGGTAGAAGAGGTGGGGTGGACATACCAGGGTGGTTCTAGAATCTCTTCCTGGGAGGGCCTCAGAGACTACAAACACGCCAAAAAGGGGAAATGGAGGCATGGTTTGGTTTTTAAAAAAAACTAAACTGTTTATACCAAAAATGAGAAGTGGTAATGGAGAATATAGGGAAAATGTCCCTGCTTCTCGCTACGCCTGGACACGGCTACTGGTTGGAAAAAGTGGCAAGTGGTGAAGGAACAAAAAATAGAAGTCAAGCTGGGGATTTGGCTCTGCGGCTCAAGCGCTTGCCTGCTAAGTGCAAGGTCATGAGTTCGATCCCTGGTACCAAAAAACAAAACAAAAAGAAAAGAAAAGCGGTCAAGAAACAGAGGCCGGATTGAGAAGAGAACCCTGGGTGAGGTGGGCTGCAGAACTAAGGAAACTGCAGGAGAAGGTGGTGGGAAGGGGACCTAGAGAAAGTGACTTGGGGAAAGTGGTCACTCTACCCTGCGCAAAGGCTGCTTGAGGAAAAATGCTGGGTGAAAGAAAGTGCGAAAGAAGAAACAAAAAACGCGCAGAGTCGGGGTAGGTAAACGCTTTCCAAATCATCGGTCAGGGCTGAGGTGGGAAACAGGAGGGAGCCCGCGGACCTTGATCCATATCCTCACAAATCCCCTGGGACACAGACGCCCAAGGCGCAGAGACGTTAGGACAAGGCGCCTGACGGGCCAGGCCTTGCCCATTGGACCCCGTTGAATGGGCTCCCGCCGACAGGCAGCTCAGGGTACTTCTCGTGCAGAAAGTCAGAAAAGAGAGAGGAGCAGGAAGAGGGGACCGCGGAAAGGAGGGAGCGAGGTCGAAGTAGGCAACGGGACGCGGAAAGGGCAGGCAAGGGCCGGGCCCCCGGCCGGGGAAGGGCGGCGACGGGAAGCGCGCCAGGCGCGCCGCTCACCTATGGTCGACACCACGGTGCCCACGAAGTAGAAGGCGCCCGGGAAGTCCCAGCGCGGGCGCAGCGCGTCGGCGCGGACCCCGGCGGCCAGCGCGGCCTCGTAGTGCCGGAGGAAGGCGCGCAGCTCCGGCTCCGCCACGCCGTGCGCCGCGCTGAAGTTGCGCAGCGTGGCGCCCCAGCGCGCGCGCGCCTCAGCCTCGCCCGGGCTCTCCAGAGCCGAGAAGACCGTGGCGCCCGCCACCAGGTAGAGGCCGATGAGCGCCGCCAGGAGCACGAAGCGACCGGTGTCCTCGTCGAGGTGCGAGCGGCGGCGGCAGCAGCAACAGCAGGAGGGGCGCGGTGGGCGGCGGCGGCGGGGCGGGGGCCGGGGGCCGCGCGAGGACATGGTCCGGAGCTCAGCCGCGGGGCTGGGGCGGCGCGCGGAGCCCGGGCCGCGACATCCCACCGCGGGAGCAGGACGCGAGGCGGGCTGCCGTGGTCAGGGCCGCCTCCCCGGGGCCCGGACGGGGGCGCTCAGGGCGTACGGCCGGAGGGCGCCAGGGCAGGGGCGCTCCCCTCCGCGCCCCGACGCCTCGCCGGTCCCCGAGGCTCCCGGCCCGCCGCCCTTGGGCGCGGGGCTCCACAGCTAGGCCCCTGCCGTCCTGTGGCCGGCGTCCGCGGGGCCCCGGACTGCATACTCCTCCCCACACAGGCCGCGGGCTGCGCGCGGGACGGGCCGCGGAGCCCGGGCGCCTAGGATCGGGTGCGGTAGCCGGCCACGCAGAGGGCCCCGGGGGCTTCGCAGGGGGCGTCCCCGGCCCGGCAGGTCCTGGGCACAGGCGGCGCGGGAAGTCCTGCTCGCGCCCCCGGGGCTGGGCGCGCGGCGTTGGCCTCGGGGGCCGCAGAGCCGAGCCGAGTGCGGGGACGCCGCGCGCGCTGCCTCCCCAGCTCCAGCCGGAGAACCGCCCGGCGCCGAGAGGCGGAGCCAGCAGAGCCTGGGGCGGGGTGTTGGGGGAGGGGGGGAGAGGGGGCGGCCCCAAGGCGGGGTACTGGGCGAGCGGCGACTGCGGCGCCGGCGGCCACCGCGCTCCGGAGCCCCGTCTTGCTCCTCTCTGCGCTCTGGTTCTGGAATTCCTTGCTCGTCTCAAGCCACTGGGAAACTTTGCCTAACTTGGCAGCTCTTTGAGGTCTCCGAGGCCGGAGGGTTGCAGACTGCGAAACCCTGACACCGGTCTTCGGACCCCAGCCCGAATTCCGAGTTGCTTTCGCCCACTCCTGGGTCCTGGGTCCTCCGTCCACCGTCCACCCGCAGCACCGGCACTAGTAGGGCCCCTCGGGAACACTGCGCGCTCTGGAGCGGGGAGAGGCGGCCGCTGCCCCCACCCCAGCGCTGAGCGGTGGCGTCAGCACCGTGGACAGCGCACCGTGCCGCAGGGTTGCTGGCAGAGCTCCTCGCTCCCCACGCGCCCCGCGCTCAGCTCTACCTCTGAGCGCTGTCCTCTTCTTGAGGCAAGTGCGGCTGCCAAGGCAGCGCTCTGACAGGGTGGAGACAATGCGGAACAGAGCCAGAAGAGGACATAAGCGCAGTGGGGGCTGAGGTCACCGGGGCCGTGGGCGCGCAGAACCCGGGGCTGTGGGTCTCCTCTCGTCGCCCCTGGGCACTGAGACCTCCACCCGGGTCAGTGAGGCTGCACGCACCCCATTGCGGCGGAGGTGGAAGAGGCTCAGGAGAAGCAGGGAGGGTGTGCGCTGGCGAGTCCGGAGGAGATAGATGGTCCGCAGCGGGGATGAGCCGTGGCCCGCCTGCGGAGGGCGCTTCTCCACCGGACCGAGCTGGGGCACAAAGTTATTAGGTGAGAAACATCCTCTATCCCAAGAGACAGCTGCGTTCTGGGTAGCCGCCCTTCTCCATTCCCACGCCTCACCTCCGTTGACTGCCTTCTCTGAGCCTCGGGAGGACCGTGATAATCATGATACAGTACAGAGGACAGAAAATAAAGATGATGGTGGGCAGGTGCTTAAGCGCTCAGGTGGAGGTGGTGAAGTCAGACTGCCCACGCCTTGCCACCCCAACCCCAAGCTCCCTTAAACTCCACTGTAGAACTCCAAGCTAAGGTCTGCTCAGAGTGGGGTGGCAGTGTCAGTCTCCTATGCATTGGGGTGCTCAGCATTGTCCTGAATGAGCAGTCATCTCTCCCTGGGCCTTTCACAGCTTTGAGTATGGAGTTGTCTGACCTGGCACCTGAGCCCCACTTAGGGAGGAGCAGAATGTCAGCATCTGACTTGGGATGTGGGTTATGCCAAACCAGGAGCCCCAGGGGCTTCCCGGAAATGCTGCTCCTGTGTCCGTGCATTCCTGTCCGTGTCTTTGAAGAAGGGGAGAAATCCACCACCACCACCACCACTTAGAACTGGGCTTCCTGGCACTGGAGGGAGGGCATGTGGTGAGTTCTGCAGTGATTTTTAGAAGGGGATGGGGAAGCTTTGCGTGTAACTGTGGGGGACCTCTAATCCACTGACATCTGTCCACCATCCCATTTCTGGAGCACAGTGGGAACCTTATACAAATGTGAACTGCTGTCATTGTACACTTTTGTCACTGTTATCAAGGCTGTTTATCCAGTTTCTTCTCTTGGGCTCTCCAGAGTGTTGCTCCAGGCCCTACTCTGAGGACAGCCTATTCATGGACCTTTGGGACTGAATTCCACCTGGCTGGTCATTTCTGTAAGAAGTCCAGACAGAAATCATTTCAGGAGTTATGCAGGCACCTCTACATATAGCTGAAGGGCACTGCCTGGCCTCTGTATGGCTAACTTTGCCCAGACTTCAGAACAGAGACAGGTTGCTTCTCTGCAGTGTTCCATGCCTGTGGGTCCAGCTCCTGCCCAATTGGCAATGGGCCTGCCTTGTCCTCCAGCTTGTTATCCTAGCTTGATTAGCAGCAAACCTCTGACATCAATCAATTCTGAATGACCTAATCAATTTATGTAATAGGGAAATGATGACTTCCCTGCACATAGGCATGGGTCTTTTAGGAAATTCACCCTGTGATGAATGTAGCTTTTACCCACTGAATAAATAATTTAAGCTATTAACTGCCAGCTGGCTAGCTTCACAGCCTTTACCCCCACCTGGAGCTGCTGCAGCAGCCTCCTGAAGATAGGATAGGGCTCACGATTCCAGATTCTGCCCGCTAGGTCCATCCTGACTGCCTGGCAGTCACTGCTGTGAGCATCTCATCATGTACTACTGTGTCTAAACCACAGTCTCTAATGGCTTTCCTCAAACTGTAAAAGTTTAGTCTTTAAACTCCAGGCCTCCATTCAAACTCTTAATGAAGTGATTCCCACTAAATTGTTCAAGTCTTGCTCACAACCTCTTACTTATTTCTGAAGTATTCCATTTCCACCCAACCAGCAGGCCTTTGCATGGTGCTACTGGCCTGTCTTAATTATTTTTCTCATGGCTGAGACAAAATACCCAATAAGCAAAGTTAACTGAGAAAAGATTGATTAAGCTCACAGTTTGTAGCGGTTTCTGCCTATAATCATCTGACTCCACGGTGGAGTAGCATCCTAGAAGGAAGAAGGTAGAAAGCAACAAGGGGTGACACCACCTCTTTCTCTCCCTTATATCTTATCTAGGCTGCTAAGGGCAGGTGACACTCTCAGTCTTAATCCTCATGCCCTCGATCCTCACATTGTACCTTGAGTCAGTCCCAGATCCAACCACCTCTGAAAAAGACCTACCTATGACTGCATAGGGCTTTGGAGGCACATCTAGACCCAAGCCATGACAGGCCCTTATTGGAAGGACATCTTTCTCTTCCATTCTTCATTTCTTTCTCCAATTCTTTCTCCTCCAGTTCCTCATATATGCAGCTCAACCCAGGTTACACTATTTCTAGAAAATACTTCCTTTGTGGGCTATTTTAACCCAATTACTTTCATGCCATCATTTCAGCCTCAGGCTTCTTGAATCTGCCATGCACTAGAAAACTTCATACAAGACACTTGAATTGGTATAGCTTCCTTCTCTCTCCCCCTCCCCCACTTCTGTCTTTTATGAAAGAAAATAGAATGCAGGAGTATTATCCAGGAAAATTAGGTAAGGTCATGGGCAACCACTGGCTGCCTCACTCCTGGATATAAACTAAGACAAACAAAAATGAGCGTCCACACAGAACTTGCAGTCTGATGTGCAGGGAAGCAAAAGAGCAAATGGGTTTGCTAACTGGTGGATGAGACAGTGAGATGCAGTGCATCTTGCAGTGAAGTATTTAGCTGTAGAAAGGAGTGCAGTGCTGATCCACGCACTGGAATCTTGAATGTCGAAGTGAAAGAAGCCAGTCACAGGAGGCCACGTGGTATGTGATTCCATTTGAACGAGCTGTCCAGAACAGAGAAATTGGGAGAAAGAAGGGACTTAGTAGCTGTGGAAGTTGAGGAAAAATGGGAATGATTGTTAATGGATATGGAGTTTCCTTTAAGGTTGATAAAAAAAGTTTTGAAGCTGGCCATGGTGATGATCGTACAGCTCATAAATAAGCTAAAAAGCATCAAGTTGTGTATTTTTTGTCTTCTTGTTTTGTTGAGATGTGGTCTCGATGTGTAGTTCATTTTGGTCTTGAACTTGTGATATACCCAAGCCTGGCCTTGGATTTAATGGACTCCTCCTGCCACAAGCTCCCAAGTGCTGAGATTATAGGCAGGCACTACCATGCCTGATTTCAAATTATATACTTTAAATGGCCTAATTGTACGGAATGTGAACTGCCTCTCAACATTGCTGTTTAAAAAAGTACAAATGCAACAATTGGGTGAATCTTTATTTAAAAATAGAATTTGAAATAATTAATCTCAAAGAAAATAATGTCTTTAAATCAAGATGATGAGGGAAAGGGGAACCAGTTTAGCTGTGCTAAAGAGAAAATTGATTATGAAATTGGATTTCAATAAAGGACTTTGTTCCAGAAAATACTTCCTATTAAATCGTAATCTGCATTGGTAAATTTAGAAACAATTCTGCATTCCAAGAAGCAAATTCAAAATGTGCCAGGTGCCGCTTTTCCTCCTGTCTATTTTTTTTGTTTTTTTTGGTACCAGGGATCGAACTCATGACCTTGTGCTTACCAAGCAAGCACCTGAACTGCTGAGCTAAATCCCTGGCCCTATTGATTTAACATTGATTTTTTTTTTGTACCGGGCCTCGAACTCACAACTTCAAGCTTGCCAGGGAGGCGCTTATGCCACTGAGCTAAATCCTTGGCCAGGTGCCTCTTAATTACTGATTTTCTTCTTCTCAGAACTCTTTTTCTGCTTGCTGTCTGTCTTACTTGGTGGTAATTGGCTGTGTAACAACTTTTTAAAATGTCTGGGAAAGTCAATCATCTCTATCCTGTGGGAGGTCAATTTAGTTGCCT